GGGGGGAGAAGTTTGCGAGAATTCACATCAAACACACGTAGGCGGAAACCAGCCATGTGAGAATTCTCATCAGTATCACTGAATGAGTTTATGTGACGACCATCAGTTGGCGGGTGCTCTGGTGTGGTTTACTTCTTCTTTCCTATCAAACATCTATTGTCCTTATCTCTCCTCTTTCTTTTTTGTGTTTGTTACTCTCCTGTAACACCTTTGGCACTTGTATGACCTTATTGTGTTGCAAGTGCCGTAAAACACTTACTAAAACAAGAAAGCTCATGAATGATTCAGTCTTTGCGTTTTATTAATGGGGAGAGAAAATTGCCATTCTTAAATGCTTTTTTTTAAACCCAGGCATGAACAGTCCTTTTAAGCAAAGCAAGGTGAAAGAAAAACTGCAATGGTCACTTGCTTTTTGTTTAGTACCATATTATTTGTAGAGCCTGACTTTGACGTCTGACACAAAAGAAGATAGACACTGCTGTTATAAACTGAACTGCACATTGCCAGTACTTTTTGTCTACACTTCAGTTCAGTTATTAAAAACTTTAAAGAAATTATGTTTTTGTTTGTGAAGAAAGATGATTAATTTGTTTCCTAGTTTCACCTTTAAAAAAATTAAAAATGTGTCTTTGAGATTATTTACACAAGCCAACGGCTTACTTTAATTCCTATGCATGTACTTTATATAAGATATTGGTTCTTTTCCTTTTACAGAACAGTTCTCATGGTGGCTATTTTGGCGTTTTTGTTTGAGGGCAACCTGCTTTTATTATTTTTGTGTTGTATGGAGGCTGCATCGGTAAGTTTGAGTTGGGTCCTATATTTGTGTTGGTGCATGAGGTAGGCAAAGCATTTTACATCACTGAAGTGCGCACTCTCACAGACACATAACGCATTGTATGCTTTTATTATATATATTTATAACACATGTACACACACACACACACACACACACACACACACACACACACACACACACACACACACACACACACACACCCAGTGGATGGTTGGTGGGTGCTCTGGTGTGGTTTGCTTCTTCTTTCTTATCAAACATCTATCGTCGTTTATCTCCTCTTCTTCATTTTTATATTTGTTACTCTCTTGTAACACCTCAAATCTTCGGCTCTTATATGACCTTATTGTGTTGCAAGTGCTGTAAAACACTTACTAAAGCATAACACACATCCATACACTCACACACCCACACCCACACACAAACACACACACACATACACACTCAAACATGTACACAATTTTCTTTAACCATCACACACATTAGCATAATATGCAATTAAATGTGTGGCAACGTGGTGAAATACGGTGCTCATCAATGTTATGAAGTGGAAGAAACGAATATTTTTCTGCTCGTTGACCAATTTTTATAGAATTTATTTTTCACCTCAACATCTTTTATGTCCGTTTAAGAATACTTCATTGTGGATTTGAAGGAAAAACTGTGATTAAAAGCACACAAAATGTGAATTTACAGTTTCCAAGGACAAGACAGTTTTGGAAGCCATCAAACTTTGGCGACCAGGTGACACCCACCTATTCCATTGCAACTATCTCGGCTTCTATTCAAGATAGATGGGTATTTTTTTCACCAAACGTAGGACAAATAAGCAAGCTTTAAGAGGAATTCAGTAGCTTCCTATTCCCCAAAAATTGATGAGTGCCTGATTCCACCATGTTGTGACACAAATACTTATTAAAAGTGTAGGCCTATACTCAAAAACAAACACATGAACTCATGATGCGCTCAGTTTAAGGCATTTTGATGATTATCCAACTTTTATTTACTTTTGTCCTAAAGTTTTTATTTATTTCATCTTGTAAAGTCAAATCTTTATTTTTTTGAAAATTTCAACTGCGGCTGATGAATTGATTGCACTTTCTGTCCGGATGTGAGATCTTGAGTGTTGACCTCTTCAATACAGTAAATCATAAAATCACACTCGGCCACAATATGTTACACATTGTGGTTATTATTTTACTTCACTTTAATTCATGAGAACATTCATGGTAGTTAAGTTTGATGTAAACTTTTAAGAGTCATTTGATGAAATGAGGCTGACAAGAAGCGGCCATATAAAACCTAAGTTTGAAAATATATTATATTATGTATAATTATTTTTCATTGTACTCACTCACATGCTTGCATCTCACAAGGGATCTGCTATAATTATTTACCATCTGTGTTATTATTCATTTTATAATTATTTAATATCCTTCCTTTGACGTCCTATTCTTTATTCTTCAGTGTTTACCAAGGTCAATGAGACAACTCTCTAATCGGATTTTACACAGGAAAGCTGTCAGTCAAACTTTTGCAGCGATATCTATATTATTAATTTTTATAGCTGCTATTCTTCCTATGGTAAGTTCAAAATTTGTTGTCATTATTTTGTAATCTTTAAATTTCAAGAAAGCCTGGAGGTTTGTTTTTGCACTTTGTTTTATTTTTTTTTAGGCACTCAAATGTGTCTTAAATTCAAATCCATTAAATAAAAATACATGACCTCCATTTCTTCTTCTCGTACCTGTGCTAGAGCTCGTAGGGGGTAATCAACTTTAAGATTTTCCCCTCACAATGCAGTTGATTTTACATACATAGTTGTTTTATTTATATAGAACAGAATCATCCCTTGCTTGAAAGGCAGCCTCATGCCATATTGAAGGTACTGTTAATATTTATACTGCCTAGAGTGGTTTCAGGTTTTGGGTAGAAATTGATTTTTAATTTTGCTCAGATAGCCTCCCAACGGGCTTACTCTTTTTGATTTTAGAACTGCCGAGTGATCTTTATCATGCAAAACTTTGACACGAGACGTCAGAAAGATTTTATCCTTATCGAAGATAACTATGTGTTCGACTCTACCTACTGTAGGATCAGGAGGTGTAAGAAACATGAGAAAGAACCTGACACTGATGGGAATCGAACTCCAAACCTCCAGGTTGACAGGTGTATAGGCCTACCATACCTGTTGAGCCACTGACCTATCTACATGTGTAAACATTTTAAAACTGTTTTTTTAGTTCTTAGGTTATCTTTGTGGTGACCTTTTGATTTTTTCCTGATCTTCGGAGGCTGGCAGTTTATCAACTGATTAGTTTGATGTTATAAATAAATGTATGGCAATTTGAGTCATGGTCACTCTAAGATGTTGCCTGAGTTTTATTTGTCAAGGAAAATTCATGCATGTGCAAGATTACCATGACTTACCCATTTATGAGCTTCTTTAAACAATTATGTAATCCACATAGTCTTTTTTGTCCTGGTGACTATTATGTGTATGTTCATGGTGACTCCTGTGCAGTTGTCTACTGCAGCACAGACGATGAAGAATTATCTCTCATATGAGGCTATGACATACTTTCTACGTGAATGCAATTAGCATTTATGGATGTCCTTTTATCTGTCTCCAAATGTCAGCTCAGCATTGCTGCTCCAAATCTAAAAGAGTGCCTGATAAAGAGGTATGGCAATCTGTCCATTGCCACCGTGGAGCAAGCCAACATCACTCGCAGTTCAAAGACCACAATTTGCAATCCTCATCAAGTCACAAATTCTTTTCCTGAGGTGGGTTGAAGGTCCTGAAGCAATTGCATCTTGACTAGTGACATGCTTTACAACTGAGATATTGACCCTGACTTCCATACTGCACCCAAGCATTACTCAGGCATGCTGGCCTGCATACTGACAAGCCAAATATTGTTTTGTTAGCTTTTTATTTTAACTGCAGCTGATGAATTAATTGTACTTTCTGTACAAATGTACAGTCTTCAAAGTCGACTTCTTCAACAAAGAAAGTCACACTCTGCAGTACGTTACACATTGTGGTCATTATTCTATATTAACTTTAATTTATGAGAAAATTCATAATAGATAAGTTTGATGTAAGTTTTATGAGTCGTTCAAGGAAATGAGACTGACAAGAAACACGAGGCAGCGTTGTGAAATCAGGCGCTCGCCAAAACAATGAAATTCAAGAAACTGTCATTTTTCTGCAGGTTTGGGAATTTTTTATTGAATTTTTGTTTTTTGGCTCAACACCTTTCATGCCCACATTTCTGTGTGGATTTTACTGAAAACCATTGATTAAAGGCTAAAAGGTGTAAATTTTAAGTTTCCACGAACTCTCAAGCTAAGGAAATAACTCAATTTTGGTGCCCATTTTTGCCATTTTCTCGCTAATTTGATCATTTTGCCTCTGAAACCAGGAAAAAAAACCCCACCTGCTTCAATCACCAGTATCTTAACCTGTATCCGAGATATATATGGAAATTTTTTTCATCAAAAGCAAGACAAATGAACAGGCTTTAATATGATACCAATAACTCCACATGCCCCAAATTTGACGAGCGCCTGATTCCACTGTGTCGTGACACAAATGTCTCTGTGAAGACTGAAGCCTTTTATTTTCTGTCAGAACCACTCAATAATCGTCTTTTTTCACAGAAGTTCAATGTACATGTTCTACCTATCAAACTGTTTTGATTTAGCTTTCCTTTTTAGAAAATTCTGTGATTGTGTTGTTCCTTTCAGCATTATCTGTTCTGCGTGGTGATTTCAATGCTGAGTACCTCTGTGTTCCTGGAGGCCTCAAGCCTGGTCAAACTTATCCTGACAGTCTCCATCAGTGTGGTGTTCCTGGTCCTCATCCAGCTGCGTTATGTCAACCTCTTCATCAACAGAGATATATTGCTTATGATTGACAACGGGTAAGCAAGGATAAAGGATTAAGCAATTCATGTGTTTGGTTAATTAATAAAACTCTTGCATGATGTAAGGATGAGCAAAACAAGAAAATAAGTATCCCAATTTTCCTGTGCTTTGTCATTTTACAAGTGCTCAAAGGTTACCTGCTATTTTGCCAGCTAGGTCAATACTTCTATTTGTCTCCCTGGTGGCCAATCACCATTATAATTCAGCTCTCCTTATTTTTCATGAATGAGGAGCTTCCTTTAAATTTTGTCTTACTTTCTTCTTTTTTTCAGCCACGTTTTTTTTCTGTTGTTCTTTTTAAAAAAAAATTCAACTTGTATCTTCTGACAAACAATCAGTGATTTCAACCCCTAAAATTTTCTTAAAGCTTTATGAAAAATATTAAATATTAATTTTTGAACGTACCAATGTACAGTGATCCATGATCTATTATAATTTATGATCTTGATGTATCCTTCGATGTACCAAATTGTCGTTCTCTACAACATGGAGTGCATTTGATGCATGCACCTTTTTTACCATCCCAAGTGGTTGGTTAATTTGTGTTCTTATACTATTCTGTTTACTTTTTTCAATGTTGCTACAGTCTTACTTTATTATAGGTAAAATATTAGGATTTTTGTACAGAATTCCAGTAAGCTGCGCTACAATTCTACTATGGCCCCGTATATAAGGTGCCTTCAGTTTTCTTTCTCTTGTTCTTCAAAAAAGTATTGTTGTCTTTTCAACAGCCTCCAGCCAAATGCATCTGTCTCTTGGATACCTCTGAGATGGGAAGCAATCATTATCATCGTTATGGTGGTCATCATATTATTTGTGCATGCTCAGCAAGTGGAGTCCACGGCAAGGCTGGACTTTATTTGGAGAATTCAAGTAAGATCATGCTTTTGTCCTGTCCTGAAAATGCAATTTTTTATTTAAACTCTTTTACTACTTTTAGGCCACACCACCAGACACTGGTGGCTTGTAAAACTGCCCGTATGCCTAGCCACTGGTGCAGTGCTGAGCGAGACCCTATCCCCAAACCAGCTCGCCTGGGACAAAACACACGTGGAAAACCATGTTTACAACACAGGACGTTACTGATTATTTTGAAGACCTTTTTGAATTAGATGCTAGTTATTCAACGAGGACTGCCATGAGTGGGATATGGAATGTGATTCTGACCATTTGAATGTTAATAATATAACGCTCAGGATATCAGGCAAAGGGGCACGGTCGCATAAGGAAGTCAGGGCTCAAAAGGTTGACTCCGTTTTATAGCCAAATTAAAAAATTAAAAGAATGATCTTTAAACACCTTCTAGTTTAAGATAATTTTACCTATTCTTCTATTAAAATCAGTATGAAATCAAGGGCAATTGAAAGGGCACTCTGTATTCAGTCGTTCATGATAACAAAAGTTCCAGGTGTTCATTGACTGACCTGATGTAAGACTAGATATACCATGTGTGAACTCAATGTCGCATTCATATAATTTTATTAAAGCATGAGTATTTACCATGCAAAGTTCATACAGCAACCTATAATAATTACAATGTATATTATGTAGGCTACACTCTGAGGCATTTTTCCGATGTAGAAAGAATACATAATGTCCATAGGTTTCTTTTGCTTGTATTAAAATAATTATTCAAAACAAGACAAGTATCAGGTTTTGACCTGCATATATGTATGGTGTTAACAACCGAAAGATGACCTACAAAAATTACTGTCTGATTGTACAAATGTATCTGTTTTTTAAATATGTGTTCCTTGTGGGTGTTTTGATGAATGTTATCTTGCTATTCAGGATTGCCCCCATGTCCAGAGAGACAGGACTGGTAGTATGAATCAAATGGTTGTGTGTCTTAGCATAATCATTGATCTCACCTACTGAGCATATTGGTTATATGTTTGCTTTAGTGCACCTGGTATGAAAAATAATGCATCATTTGTTTTTGCTTGGTGGTTATGATTGCTATTCTCACAGCTTTAGCGTTACAGTGATAAAAAAAAAAAGAGAGAAAATGGTATGAGAGAAGTAAGACCGTCCTGTGTTACGGGAATTTATTTCATGTACTTTTGTTAGAAGCAGAACTGAAGTCACATTAAAAATAGGTCCTGTCACTTTCAATATGTTACCTTATATAAGGTGCAGACAGATGACAGACATCAAGATGTCTGTATTTTCTTGTGAAACCCCAGTAGTAATAGCTGAAATGGGTGTCACTACTTTTGTATCACAAAGTATCCCACAATTTGCAGATTTGCAGTCTTGTATAGTCTCTCTCTATATAGTTACAGAAAATAATTTGCTCATATCTAGATCACATAAATGAAATTATTTGATTTCTGTTATCAAGCCATGCACATATACACTCACAAGCAATTAATGTGCTTTGACTTTGAACGCTTCTTCATTATCTAATGAATTATTCTATGCTCCTGTTTTCTGAAAAAGCACATGTCTCAGTTGTGAAAGATCGTGATAAAGACTAATTACTTCCAGCGAGACTTTGTATCCATCTTTGTATGTGTTTCTACTGTATAAGCTTTTTTTTTTTTTTACAACAGTCACTCACACTCAACTTAACTGTCTAACAATAAACATATTATAATATATTATGTACTATGGTGCACTGTAACATTCTGTATATACTCATGGTGTCCTGAGCAAGACAAAGATCAGACTTGCAGAAGCTGTAACTTAAATAGAAAATCCTGTCAGGTCTACCGTGTTTGTTTTGCAAAAAAAAGTATAATACTAGAAACTTACCTACTTATCTGGCTGTTTAAAAAAAAACCTGTGAGGTTTAACGATTAATCAAATAACTTGTGCCATAACTTTTTTACTTCTTGTCTCATTTGCAGATAAGATTTTGTCAAAATCAACCTACTTACTGCCTAGAAGCCTTTGGTACTGGATTAGACAATACCTTGTGTCCATAATTGTAATGCAGGAAGATGCCTTTTTTATTATGCTTATGGGTACTATTTTTACACTATAGGCAGTGTCTCTATTTTTAACAGTGGCCTGGCATTATTGATGTAAAAGTTATTGCTCCTATAAAATGTTTACTTTTCATTCATTTGAAACAGTACTCATTCCCTGACTCCATTTGTATTTTGTAGATGCTAGGATAAAGACAGATATGACTGCCCAAAAGACACTTTGTTACAATTGTGATCAGTCTGTTGAAAGGCTATAATACCATACCTTTTCTTCCATGACTTTACGTTTTGTGTACATTAAATATTTCGAGTTAGATTTGTTTTAATATAACATGTTCAGTTATAATAGCCACTAAAATGTTGCCTTTGTAGTAAACTTTATGTTGCACTTTAGCCAGTAAATTGTAGGCCTATACTTTTAGAATGTGAATTTATGAGAAAACTGGATTCTGTAGAAGTCTCACAGACTCTGACTTTGTGGAAAAAATGTTAAATCGGCATATCTTTTAGAATTTCTCTCATAACGCTTGAATTTGACAAACTGGATTTTTCTACACTGGAAATTGTGCTGTTTTGGTATTTATGTGATTGCAGAAACAATTTTATCAGCAGAAATGAAAAAGACTAAAAGTGTTAATATTAATTGTGAAATTCACAGGCTCAAGATGAGAAGGAAGAGATGGAGAGTCTACGAGAGTACAACCTTAAACTCTTGTCCAATATATTGCCATTACATGTAGCCAAGCATTTCCTCAGTATGAAGAATGATGGGGCAAGTATTTCTGTGATATGTTCTTCCATCTGGTGTATATACTTTTAAGAGAAAAAAATTCCTTTAGAGAAGGAAGTGCAAATCTCTGAATGACGGTTGACATCGCCAAAATAGGATGTTTTTTTTTTTTTTTTCTCAAATTAAATTTCTTACATTTATACCAGACTCCTTTTTATCAGAATAGGTTTGGATTTGATTTTGTCGTAGACGCTCTTCTAAACACAATGTAGGTGTCACTTTTGTTGTCATTTCACAACAAGATGATAAGAAAAAAGTTTCTGGAGAGGTTTGAAAAATTTGAATGGCCACCCAGATTTGAAGCAAGATAGTGATATATTTGTCATGATCATAATAAACTGCGTCCCAGCATCCAGTGGAGGACAAATTCTGCATTATGAAATAAATGTTCAAAGAAAAATAATTTAACTTTTGACTACAATTCTATTTGCTCTTTAGTTAGAAATTGTCATAGGAAAGAAGTTGTATTTTTCATTGGTTCAAATGCTTTGTTTAGGACACCTATTGAAAATTCTGGTCAAAGGCGTGCGAAAATTTGCATATTCTTTGCCTTTCAAAGTTTGAAAACAACATTGTAATTGCTTTTCCACATCCCTTTAAACAAATAGCCAAAAATAAATGTTTTTTGGTCTTTGTGAATGATATAAGATTGACTTCATACATGAGTTGCAGCATTTAAGAGCAGTGGTTTAGTTAAAATGTTTGTTATAGGTTCTACATGATATTATATATCTGAAGCTTAATGAAGTTTCCTAATAGGTTGAAGTGTTCATGAACCATGAGTATTGAAAGAGTTAATTGGCTCAGGGATACTGTGTATAAAATTAATCACAGAAGGAAAAAGTGGCTGTAATTTCACATTCATGTGTCTTTGTATATTTTTTGTTCGTACTTTGTAATTTCATTTTAGGGAAGGGGTAAAAGGGTTGGGGGGGGGGGGGGGGGGAGTGGGGAGACTTAAAGGTTGGACATCTGTATCTAACTTTTCGACTGTTTTTTGTTGTTATCAAATTTTGAGTCTGAGCATAGATGCAGATGCAATAAAATTTGGTTGCAGCAGGATAATTATAATATCTCTGTTTTTTGTATGACTATAATAGTAATATAATTTGAAACCATGCTTTTTTAAAATGGGATCATTAGAAACTTCGTTTATTGCAGCATTGCGTTTGTGTGTAAACTTGGAATAATGCATACTGATACTCCTCTTGCTGCTAAGCATTCCTCACATGTCACTTATCGCAACTTAATGTGAAAGTAAATAAATCGTTCTGTGTTCATGATCTTCTTTCAGAAACTGTACTATGAAGACATCAACAATGTGGGAGTAATGTTTGCTTCCATCGTGAACTTTTCCGAGTTCTATATGGAGTTAGAAGCAAATAATGAAGGAGTAGAGTGCTTGAGGCTGCTCAATGAGATCATCGCTGACTTTGATACAGTAAGTCTGTTGTGAAGATGTGTTGTTGCCAGTGTCATGATTAAGTTACATTAGGAACAAAATCACAGTTTTACTACATTTACGGAGAATGGTGAAATTTAATTCATTCGTTATATTTCTGTGTGATGAAAGACACTGCGGAGCTGATGAAGGAAAGTTGTACAGTGCATACTGTCAAAATACTTACCTTGTTTTTTGGATACTGCACTTTATCAAGGATCACTTTTTGAAACAATGACAAAAAATAAAGGCTTGTTAACAGTTTTAAGTTGCATGAACTGCATGCTGAAGACACAATGTTAAGAGTAGGATAAATTAGACTTTCTGTTTTGGTTTACTTGTCAAAATATTTATTTTTTTAAACGATACTAGAATGTCATTCATTTCTAAACAAGAAATGTTAGAAAATACATGTATCATTCTGTTACCTCCTACTTACATTATATTGTAAGTGTTTCTTGTTGTGTTCTTTCCTTATAATATGACTTTTGTCGGGAATGACTACTTCCATTTACTTGGAGCTACATTCTGTTTTTATAGTCATTCTTCATTTCTTGCGCCAGTCCATACATCATAAGGTATTATTATAGTTAGAGATACTTTTTTTTCTGTTTTCATTTGAAGATCTTATCAAGCTTAAAAAGATCTTCGCCTCTGTATTTTTGCAGCGCTGACTTTTTCTGATGCTTTCTAGATTCAAATTCCTTGAATGTATGGACGCATTATGTTGTTAATGCTTTTTTAAAAATTGTATTTAATTTCTCTTCTGTTCAGTTGTTAACCCATAAGCGCTTCTTTGCTGTGGAGAAAATAAAGACAGTGGGTCAGACGTACATGTGTGCATCCGGGCTGACCAGCCGCACCAATTTTTTGGACATGACACATATCCTAGCCCTAGCGGACTACACTTTTGCCTTGAAGAACCAGCTGGAGTACATCAATGAGAACTCTTTCAACAACTTTGTCATGAGGATAGGTGAGTTATCTCGGCCATGACTCTGTGTAGGAGATGCTCTCTGGCAGTGCCAGCAAATGACTTTCTTTGTTCTCGTTCTCCTCCCTTTTCTTCTCTTTATTATCTTTTTCTTGCTCTTTCTAGCTCTGTTCTTCTATTTCTCTCTTTCATCCTTAAAAAAAAAATTGTTATTATGAATACTGTTATTAGTATCTTTAATGTAATGGTGATGATGGAAAATAATACGGCTACTATTTTTTTTATTCGTTAAGATATTTATTCATTTTAGAGAATATTAATTCATTTATGATGAAACTTCTCATCCTTTTCGTCAGTAGGCCTATCTTTGTTATTATTATCATTCTCACCACTTTTACCTATATCACCATCCTTATTGTAGTTGTCTTCAGAAGTAATATCTAGGAGAGTTTCTGTAGAAGTAGTTAGGAATGTATAACAAAAGGAACATTGTTTGATAGTATTTTCACGGGGAACACTACCTGCCAGCAAAAATCACTTTTTCCATATAAAAAGAATTAAATTATGATTAGTAATAAAGCTCTACAGCAAGTCTATGCTTGTTTTTTTTTCAAGTATTACAATAGTACTATAGTTTTATCTCCCATCAATCTTGATAAGAAGATCCATTGATATCTTGTCTCATCATCTATGAAAGGAGGCTGGTTGTGGTTTTTGTGAGTAAATTTAATACAGTTAAATTCAAACACCATTTTTGTAAGGGTTTTTTTTTCAAGTGTAGTGTTTAGACCAAAGTTGAAGTTATTCATCCTACCCTTGAACAGGTCTCAATATAGGTCCGGTGGTTGCTGGAGTGATTGGGGCCAAGAAACCACACTATGATATCTGGGGCAACACTGTTAATGTAGCCAGTCGCATGGACAGCACTGGAGAACCAAACAAAATCCAGGTAAGACAGTCTGAAAAATTGGCTACCACTGATTGTGGTTGAAAACTGTAACCTTAGTTTTTCAAGCACTCTTGCAGACCTGTGGATTATACATTTTGTTTGTCCAATTAGGACATTTTCTCTGCTAGCTCCTAATGTCCAGAAGAATAAGTGTAGCCAAAAAATGTGCAGAAGTGTTCTATAGCAAGTGAAAAGCAATGAAACTTTACATATGCATCACAGCTTTATTCTTCTCGCTTGTCCTTTTACAATAAAGATTTGATTTCGGCATCTAAAAGTGCTGCTTTCCTCAACTATGTGATTTTATGATTATCTGCTTCATAATCAATCAGCTGATATCGTACTCATAATGTTATATTTATGTCAATGAGAATGGATTCAATACTGTCTTTGTGACCTTTCTTCTTTTATTGATCTTTCATTGTCACAAACACAAAGTGACGCTTGACCTTTGATTAATTATTATCTAGGTTTCTCCTCATTAACCAGAAGACAACCTTTGTTTTTGAAATGGGGTCTTTTTCAGGTGATGTTGTCTTTTATAAAGTGATGAAATAAGGAGGTTTAGAGACAAGTAAAAAATCAGAACCCAAGTCTAAAAAAATGTTGAATATTCTATCTCAGTGGTCTTTCCTGTTTGTTTTTTTAAATAGAAATAATGGTGCAAGAACTTCAGGTTCTCATGACAGGAAAATGTATCAAATATTTTTTGCGATCCATGTTTAGATCTTTTATGCTGTCTTCTTTTTGATATTTTATGTGTCCTATCCACAGAGAAGGATCAATCATCTCATTTATGAATTTTGCGTATTTTTCATGATGAGATTATTAACTTAACGTTCCTTTGCAAGTATTCTAATGATACTATTGATTCCTAGCTGCAGCACAAATTTGTGCTATCTAGAATGATTTCTATGCGTATTTGCAGGTATTTTAAACATTTTTTGCAGCCAGTTTCACGCATCCATCCCCAGGTGACTGCAGAAATGTATCGCATTTTGAGCAAGAACAAGTATTCATTATCTCCTCGAGGACTTGTAAGGGTCAAAGGCAAAGGGGACATGCACACATTTTTCTTGGATGCAATGCCTCCTGGTGCATCATTGGAGGACATGCAAACTTATGACTGATCTGAATGCTTGCTGATGTTTGTTTCTGACATTTTAGACTGATGCCAAGCCTAAGATAAAATGTTGATGCTTTTATAATAAATAAACTCCCCGTTCCCTTCTCCGTTCTCTTCTATCCCTGTTCCCTTTCCCCTCATTGGTATATGTGAAGTATTTATTCTCTTGTGATTAAGAGCATTCCGCAGAATATTTTCCAATGTTTTATTGTTTACCTGTGATGTGTTATCTTTTCCCTAACTGCTTTTTTTACTTTTCTTATTTTGCTTTTTGGTTGTATCAAGCGAACACAATCTGGAGCACAAGTTTTGTTTTGGAATCATTTCAAAAATTGAAGAGCTTTCAAGGGATATGGAAAAAAAAAATTCAAGTTGGACTTTCATTTAGCATGTATTGCTCTGTTTCTTGTTTAAGGGAGTTCAATTTCATTATCTAGTCGGGGTACTGTGTTTGGTAATTTATTGTCTTTAAAATAATGTGATGTGATGTGACTGCTGCACTCAGTTTAGGCACTCACACTTTGTTCAGCAAGATTTCCTGAGAATGACATGACAATAAACTGACTAGCAAAAGAAGCTACAATCTACAGCTGTTGCTTTCAAATACCAGCTTTAAACTCAGATGGATACTGTTGGTAATTTAACCAACAAAACTTGGCTACCTTTAGAGACAGTTCTTAAGAGAGGACTACCCTTCTTTATTCGCACAATGTTTCTGCCTTCAATTTTAAGGGTGAACAACATTTCACATTTCCCTGTCTTTTTGTCTACAAATCTGGCATCAGATTCTCTTTGAATGAATGATGTATTCATTAATAGGTCTAATAGTAACCAATTTTTTGTCTGTAAATTATAAAGGTGAGTCAAGAATTTGCACCATTTTTTTGTTTCAAGAGGCAAAATATTCACAATCTGAGATGACATTTTTATATGTTTCTTGAAGACCTGTTATATTGGGAACAATATATTGTTATTGTGATGTCCACATCTTTCTCAAATCCATCCTTTTACTTGAGAGACAAGGAAATTAGATTCCTTGTTGTAAAAGTCATCTTTTTGTTCTTTGAATTCACAGCTCAGACTGTATATTGCCGGCAGATAAATTTTGCCCGTTGTATCATAACTTGAATTATATGCTTTAAAAACACTTTGTCCATTACAGGTAGAAGAGTTATGTGGTTTAATTATAAATCTTGAGCCTGATGTTGCTTTGATAGCATCATGCTGTGTTTTGACTTGTTGGCTCACATTATTTAGTTATTATGACTTTGATTTCGATAAAACCAGATTCTCTCTGAGACTTCCCTACCTCTGCAGTCATCGCTTTCATTTTGATGATTAAATCATGTATCATTCTCACTCTTACCTTTGCCACTTTCAATGACTTCAATAACAAACAAATCAAGATGAAACAGATTGTCCAATAGGTGGTAACATTTGTTTTTTTAAGCTAGTCTCTTATGCCACTGGCTGTTTTAGTTTATAATTACAGTGTTCTCTATTTGTAGTCTAAAAATCAACTTGTGTCCTCACCAAGTGTATAATTTTATGTTAGCATGGGCATCTGTGGGTTTCACAGTAATATTTTATTATAAATTCTCATTACTTTATTGTTGCATAGGTCTAATGTCATTATTGCTTATGCCTTTAATAGTATTGATTGTGCGTTTATGCACTGAGTTCAGTTTGTGGGCATCATCCCACCTGATCTCAATGGGTCACTTTAAGTTCTTTTGGCTGGTGGTTTTGTTCCTCAACAAGATCCCAGTATGTTAGAATTTCTTTAGTGTTTGGTCACTCCCAGCGCTGGTTTAAGGGCATTATAGTAATTTGCTTGCTTTTTATTCTGAATACCTTGAAGCATTTGTCTGGCACACAAACCTGTTCGCACATGTCAGGGTACAGGAACTACATCAGTGATATATGAGTTGTCATCTTCTTTTTGTCTGCTCAGGGTAAGACTCCTTGTCATGTCAATTTTCAAAGTGGTGTATGGCGGAATCTTAGCTTACTGAGCAGGCATTTTGTATTTTTGGCCCCCAAAAAATGCAAGCCACCTTTGGATGTTAAAATTATTTCTATAAAATGTAAACAGCTAAAGGAAAAACAACACTGACTTCCATGGAAATAAATTATGGAAAGACTGCTCAGCTCAATACAATTTTTAAAAATGTTTCCTCAAGCTTCCTTGCATGCAGTGTAAAGGCTGCTATTCTCCTTGCTTTATAGGCCAATTACCATGTGGGGAAAATATTATTGCGAGAAGCTCATTCGTGCTTGTGGGATTTATTCATACAGCCTAGGTTCATCTGAGGGACAGTGTCAGAGCTTAAAATATTTACAAAAACAACTGAATGAAGTTGAATCTTTATTTAGAAGTGACTAGGGTTGAGCATATTGTATTGTTTTTAAAACTGTCCCATATGGTCTTATGCCAGCTGATCAAGCTGAGCAACAGTCCTAATGTGGCAACACTGTTTGTGGTGTATACCATGTAACCTTAAGATATATTATATATTACTTCTTTCTGTTTAGCCCCCTTGCTTCAATATAGATATATACATATTATGTTGGTGGGGGGTTGGAGGGCACCATTGGTAGGTCCCACTTCTTTACTTTCCCTGTATTGTTTCTGTCAGTCTGTCTTACTTTTTCCCTGCACTAAATGACCATTGTTGTGTCGATGTGCATCTCTTTACTCAAACAAACAAACAGATCAATGTACCATATTATTTAAGCCGTTCCCTATAGTTTTGTTGAAATAGCAGATTTGCTCAGTGGAACATTGAGGAGACAGGTAAAAGTGCATTTTTGTTATAGTATGCTCTCATAAAATACGCTCCAAAGAGTCCAAGAGGGGTAATGGGGGTAAAAAACTGATTTCAAAGTCGCAAATTTAGTACTCTTTATTTTTTTTTAGGTAGATGGTTTGGACATGGTGCCAAGTGTAAGTAAGAGTATTACTTTTTTATTTCTAAGTTTTGTCTTTGAAAGAAAGGAAGACTCACTGACCTGGCTTCCTGTGTAACTGACACAAGTGTCACAGGCATAATAGCAAAGAGTATTCAAATGAGTATATCAATCTGTGAAAGTGCTTGAAAGGTTATTTTTTGTTTTTGATTTTCTGTCTTTATATGACAAAAAAACAAAACAACTAACACAGTGACTGTGATTATTCTCAACCATCAGACTTCATGTGACTTTTTCCAGCTAAAATACTTGTAGATCCATGTGTTCACTATTTTGTGAGCTTGTATATTTGTTTCATGACAGCCAGTCCAGATTACACCTGTTTGATTAACAATGGTTTTTAATTGTGTTGGTTTCTTTTAAGACTAAGTTAACTTTATCCCCGCTGTGCCTGGCCAGTTCATGCCACATTGAAAACATTTCTACTCGAAGTATGTCTTCTTTCCATACTTGGAGAATGTAAGATAAATATGTGTGATGAAAGTCTCTGATCCGCTTTGCTTGGCTTTTTTATTGAGTTTCCTTCTCATCGTTCTCTACATTTCATGTTCTTCCGTTTATTATCTTAAATAACATTCTTTTGTTCTATCTTCTTCTTGGTTTTGATCCAATGAACCCAGGTGCCCATTACACTGTTCTTTGACTTATTGTGACACACGTCCCAAGCTCCATCGCCCAGTCAGATTTGTACACTGTTGTAAGAAGGATTCTTACCTAGGATTAAGGAACGTGGACTGGTTCCATTTGAGATGGTCATTAAATAAGAGGGCCTACCTCTAAAATTACATAACTGTGTTGAAAGGAGTGTTAAATGAGTTCAACAACAAAATGCAGGTATGCAGGGTTTCAATGGCTGAAATTATTTTTCAGTAATACTCTGTAGTGTTTACTGTATGTCTGTGAAGAGACTGCCAATTTATACCGATTATGAAAAGTATCAAAAATATCTCTGAAATCAGTGTAAGTTGTCATCAATTTCCTCATGTGTAAATCCAACGGTACATCATAATGAAATTGAAGTAATTCCTCAAGTAAATTTAAAATAACCTTTAGATCTCCCAGATATCTTTTATTTTGAAGGTGTTCTTCAAGATGTATATTATTTTTATTTTTATGCTCACTGAGTGGGTTTGTAATGTAACACACAATACTGAACTCATTTTCCAGTTTGTATCTGTTGTTCGTAAGTTAGATCTATACTTGTTGTTGTTGGTTGTTTTTGGGGGGTTTAAAATAAGATTTTTACATAATAGATCAAATTGTCACTCATTTTCATATTGTCCCTCCAGTTTTTGCCCTCGGAGTTTGTACCATGAATAACACTTTTCTCCTTATATAGCTATTGACTTTTGTAAAAATCATTTCATGTTTTGTAAAAAGTATAGATTGATAGCAGTGCAGCTCTCAGATACTAGATTACATATTGTGAGTCCTTGTGTACCGAGTGAGGTCTTGATGAAAGAAAAAGCGTTTCATTGGTGAATTCCCCTAACAAAAATGTCTTGAGGTCAATTCAGGTTGAAGGGATTTTTGCTTGTACTCATTGAACTCTTCACCTGCAAGCAATGTTGGTACACTGAATTGTTAAACAAAAGCATTGCAGGAGACTCTTCCCCTTATGCAACTCTATAACATTTTGCTTTGTATTTTCCTGTTATCTGACAACAGTCGAGGTGCAAGGCGTCATGGAAGTGTATATGAGGCACGTTGGTGAAATCAGGCACTCTTCAAAATTATGAAATTGAAGAACCAGTTTGGCAATTTTTATTGAATTTTTGTTTTTTGCCTTAAGACCAGTGTTGTCCAATTAAGAACACATTTCTGGGTGGATTTTACTGATTAACGTTGATTAAAGGCACTTAAAAGTAAGTTTTCGTTTCTACGGACCGTTCAGCCTATGTAAATAACCAAACTTTGGCTGCCATTTTCTCGCTGATTCTACCTTTGAAACCAGTCGACCCCACCTTCTTCAATCTCAAATATCTTGACTTCTATTCAAGATAGATGGGCAATTTTTTCACCAATAGCAAGACAACTGAACAAGTTTAAAGATAATACCAATGCCCAAAAATTAACGAGCGCCTGATTCCACGACGCCTTGACACATATTGTATATTTTTTAGTGGAACACATCTTCCAGCAGTACAGGACACACTGGGCCCTGTGACACAAAATGTGGCCAGCCTCATTGACACTACGGGAGAAGCTGTACGAGCCAACAAAACAACTGAGCATGACAGCTCAGTATATGATAGATACCAGACTTCAAGTGTTATGCGATCAAGAAGAAGTTCTATATTTTTAGCAATAGAATAACGTCAAAGCAAATTGCTGACCTACTGATAAGATACACATCAGACTGGTAAAGGGTTTTCCTGCAAATAACTCCAATTAGA